AATGTAACATCTTACTACCTTATCTAAATACAGTAACGGACTTTTTAAACTATATTTCATATAATATAACATACTACAGTTTAGTACTATATGTAAAGGTGTAGTGTTTTAAATAACGTATTTATCTACTCATTATAACCATATCTTACATTAAAAATGGTAAAATAAATCCTATTAAAAAAAAAGTCCAACAATACTGATAAAGAGCACCAATAATTTTAAAATAATTACAAATCTAAGTAAAGAAACTATAATAAGTACCCTCAATATAACAGGTAACATTATAATAACAATAGTCCCTTGAAGTTGGTGCTAAGCCAAATAGGTGCTTAATAAGCTTGGTAGAATGAAGCGCGAAAGAGTGAACCTTTTTTTCAAAAATTCATATAATTTCAAGGAATTCTTAGTGCCGCTTGTTGAAATTTTTAACTCTAAATTAGGTCTCACAATGCTTTGTTGTATTTTATACATCATTGTACAATAATCTCCCCTAAAAACAAGGCTACATTGTTATATGCCTTGTAGTTCAATTAACCCTCTTGTTAATAAGACAGAGAGACCAGCTCAGTAAAAATTCATCGCGTCATCTACGCCTCACTGGAGATAAAAATTAAAAATGCACACTCGCCCGCAATGCCTCAAGGAAAATATGTTCAACCGGATGAATACTTCCTAAAAATTTAAAAGCATTGTCCTTTTTCTCTTAACAGGCCTTAGTTAAGATGTTTTTACGTACATTTTTATTTATTAAATTTCATGCTTACAAAGTAAAATTTATATACGGTGATATTTGGTAAGTCTTTGTTGGTGTTTAAATTTTTTTTTTAATTCGCCTAAATAACTTTACTAAAAGATTAAAACTTGATATTTTAAAATACAATCATACGGAAAAAAAAATCTTAGCTAATGACCATTTGTTACAACTTCTACAGACCAAATTCTACAGCTCCTACGTCGTAAGTATTTCAATCCTGCAACCTCTTAATCACAGATCTCATGTACTGTCAAATTAATGATTGTGTAAAAAGTACTTAATAATCTAAAAATGTAATTAATAATATATCAAAACCACAATTCACAAAACGTTTTTATTCTCGTATATCTTAATAACTGGCTGAAACACATGTAATAATAGATCGCTCCCGATTTAATATCCCACTCATAATTGAAGCGAACGTTCTTCCAAACCCATTACGTGGAGCTCCTAGACTAGGCTGGCGAGGTAATGAACTCACATTATAAATGCAACTAAGCATCGCCGACGATGTTCCGATGTTCTGATGCACTGAGCACTAGGATGCGAAGAATTAATTCATTTGCATGTAAAACTTCACCTACGGCACGCTACTTAAGATTAGGGAGACGCTGATGGGAATCGATATTTAGGGCTGGTATGTGGTTTAGGAATATGAATAGTGTGAATGTAATATAAATTACTAGGTAATATTATGATCAATACTTAGCTAAATTGCTTGACTTTAACCTTTTTAACCCCCGACACAAAAACGACGGGTTTTGTCTGAGGCATCGTACCTCCCGAACGGATGAACCGATTTTGATTTTGATTTTAAGGTGAATTAGTCGGGAGTGTTCTTAGCTATATGTATGATGAAAGTCGGTCCAAGATGGCCGCCGCCACAAAATGGCGGATAACATTTTTTTCATAACTCCCTCAATATATCAACTGAAAGGGCTTGACTAGTAGAATACTATACACTATGATAAATTTCTAAACCAAGATGTGTGTCGGGGGTTTTTAAAACTTTTAATTTAATGTTTTTAACGTCTTGTAATAAAACCTATTCAACTACCTATAGTTTTTTATAAATAAATAAATAAAAAAAAGACAACTCCCGCACTAGGAATAAATCCTATGTCGCGGGGGACTTTACAAACATACATGAAACGGACATAAAGTACACCCAGACTCAGAACAACAATTTGTGAATCACACAAAGTGTTGTCCCATGTGGGATTGGAACCCACAACACTCGGCGTAATAGAAAGCGGCGTGGCGACCGCTTAAACCACTACGCCATCCGTGCAGTCAAGTGCCGTGCAGTTGAGTGTAGATATTTTTGTTGGAAGTTTAGTTTTTCTTCTTTCAACGACTTCAACCACATTTTATCGTCCGATCCTTGTCGCTGTCGATTTCGTTGCGGATTTGACAGAAAGTGTAGAAGAAAGAAAAAAGGTGCTATTTTGTAACCTTAATAAATTGACATACAATTTTTTCTTCTTTATTTTGAAGAAAGTTCCTGCTTCACGTGTATATGATACCAGTTCTGGGTCATGATAACCTGAGAACGCTATGCATAAGTAAAGAATAATAATTCAGGGGCTAATTAAACTTTTCCCGATTAACTTTCTAGATAGTTGCAGTTCTTAGTTCGTTGACATTAACCGCCACGGAGACACCTGCATTACTCGGTGACTGTTAATGGGATCTCAGGGCCCTCACGGCAGCTTCCTAATTCTACGTACTCGAGTCGAGCACTTTTTACAGACACTTCGAGTCTCTAGAGGACAATCCCATGTAACGGCGAAGGGAATTTGTTTAAATGAGTTCGGTGATTGAAAGTCAAAAAGACCTTTAAGTTTTCCAAATTGTTTTGATATTAAATTTAGTTTCTGTTTGGAACATCGAATTGTTTTTATTACAGCATTCTAATAATATTATCACTTACATTAAAACTTCATTCCACATCACCAATAACTAGTATAATCTTAGACAATATTAAATTGCTTTCATGTAACCGCTTAGGTAAATATAGTTCTAGGGTTTTATTTCTTCCATTTTATTTTTAAAACTGAATTTTATGACCTCAAATAAAAATATAATCTTTACATTTAACTTAGTAGTTGACATAGTTGCTCAATATTTTTGTTTCTTTTATATATAAACTTTGATGGCACCAAGAACAAGGCTTCTTAAATAACAAAATAAATTAAAGAGGGTAACACAATAGGCAAGTACGCAAATAGAAGTTCTTCAATGAATAGCGTCAGAAAAAGTAAGCGTGATCGTCCTCTTGGGGGCGCACTTATCATTGACATTAACTTTTTTGTTGTCCATAACATTTGCATAACTCTTAAACTCTGTATCGGTACAGCGCCTCAAAGCCTCGAGGCGACTTCGGGGAGAGCCTACACTTTGTAAGATCATTTTCAGACTTTAGTAAACTCTGTTTGAGTCTTCTGGGCGCTATAAAAGCAGGGAAGTCATTTGTAAATTACCTTTAATGGCAAAAAGTGCTTATCTTAAATAAGAATAATATTATTGCCCTTAGGTACCGTTGGAAGTAAAAAAATGAATTAATACTTGATAATAACGACATTACATCACTAGGGTGCATATTTAAAATATAATCTTTACATTTAACTCAGAATGTCCTGATCGTACAAAAACAATTAAAACATTAATAGGTATCTTCAGGCAGTAAGAATAAATTTGACGAGGATATTTTGGCAGCTGTCATTCGCAGACAGCCCTTCGGCAAACGAAGCTAATTCAAACCCCACGATGTCTCACACGTAATAAGTAAAGAGTATCATTTAAATTCTAGCTTCATTTTTTGTTTTTAAATCAGAGATTAAGGCTGCAGATTATATCAAGAAGCAAAATTGATTTAATCCAAATGTTCGTAAAATTTATAACTCGTTAACGATAATTGTTTACCTATAGTAATTATCAAACTGTAATTACTAATATAGTACCACTGAATACGAAAATATTACTCACCAGTATAGATTCCTAGACAAAAAATTGCGAAAAAGGTACTTTACTCATAACTTAGAGGGCTAAATAAATATTTTTCCTAAGAATCATGATTACGTTGTGTCACTGTAAAGCATGGATAAGATAATTGGCTACCAAAATGGCCCCTTAATCCATCTTGAGATTATAATTTAAAAACATGAGCAAATATAATGGCTCGGGACAAGAAAGAAGAGTGTACCTTTAGGTATTTGTGAGTAGACAGGTAGAGGTGCTTGTAGTGGGCTCGATGGCTTAATAAGTAGGTATCGCTGGCAGCAGCTGTTATGATACCGGCCGAGTGTTGCGCCACTCACCCTTAAAAAGATTTTCATTCATAGTATGGAGAAGGCTTCTTTAAGTAAATCTGCGTCGTTTCTTTAAAAAATTGGACAGCGGTTTCAGCTGTGCTTCAAAATGTGATGTGGTGTCCGCTAAACTATTACAGGTTAAGTATTTTACTAAAAATTGGCAGTATCACATTTAAGGATCGATAAAACCGATCATAAGCCGAACCCGTGGAGCCGCTGCGTAAATTCAGTTGCTAATAGTATACGTATACTTTGTTTCTATTTTAATGTAATATTTATAACTTGTACATTAAGTTAGCAATAAAGTTGACCAAATATTTATTGTTATGTTACAAAATAATAGAAAAAATATTTTATTACATAAATATGCCGCTGTTTACTCGTATCAACGTTGGAATAACATGATTCACATCGTGTAAAAACTCGTCTGTAAAACTAAGTTAAAGTTTTTTTTTACTATTATAGTACAATTTAAATATATATTTCTAGAAATACATCTAAAAATCCAGTCCCATTATAATAAGGTGACCAATAAACTGAACATTCCAGGATCATCTGATGTAACAACATTATTTTTATTACCAGGTTGCTGCTTACTGTGTTTATGCTGTTTCTAAAATTTTATAGCTTTAAGGCCAATGACTGTTCACATTGTGATGGCCATATACTACTCCCAATTCAAGTTATAGCATGATGATAAGCGGAATTCATTTACGAGTAATATCTATACTATTGACAGCAAACGGAGTACTATTGACAGACGCACATCGAGCTAAGTATCGTGTGATGCAAACAATCCCCAACACTAAAGACAAATACCCTTACATAATTGCTTTACTGTCAGATGAAGATAGAACTGGTACTGGTATTGACACGAAGATGGGTTCTGACCTGTGCACATTGTGTAGAAGACATAACACATGTACGGAGACATGTCGATTCCTGCAGAATCTTCAAAAACAAAAAGAAAAGTAATTAAAAAGGTTAAATATCCAGGATATCAAATAGGAGAATTATCTCAAGAAATTGGGTTATGCAGAGTGACCTCGGTGCCCATAAAGGTATTTGGAAAGTTATCAACTATAGAGTACAAGTCACTAGTAGGCCATCAGGTAATTTATGCTGGATATGGCACTAATCTATTTTCGGATGGTAACGGTGGACAGCAACCACTACAAGTCAGCGAGGCGATTGTTACTCCATGCGGACAGAACTATTCACAAGGCCCGTACTTGTGTTTAAGCGTTGATTTCTTAAATATAAAATATCAAGATCTAACCGAAGCTTACACTGGTGGACCTGTATTCAGTTATGGATATTTAGTAGGCGTAATTAGTTACGGAATTATAGACTTACCACCGGGCCGTGTAACAGCTATTTTACCTTACAAGAAATGGATCAGTGATGTTGTGAGTGGTCGCATCAAGTAACATTAGCAAATGTGTTACCAAGTTGGTTAATTTAAAAATAATACTGAAACATCTCGAAACTGAAATAATAAAGACATATCCGCACTGTTGTCAAAGTTGTTTTATAAGTTCTTTGTAGATAAAACTAGAAGTCTGAATTTTCAGTGTACAATACCTACGAGTTAATTAATGAAATGACTTGGCAGTCGCAGATACTATTTTCATGTTACAAATTCTATCTAAGATTTATGAATGCATAAATTATTTATGTTCGATTCGAACTTAAAATAGAATATTATTCTTATGGTGATATACAATTGCTAAGTTATACTACTTATCAAAGAAATATTCTGTGAATATGAATATACGATATCTATAAAATTTTATTAGTTGACTAATGAAGTCACACAAGACCGCACTAGTTTTTTACTTCACGACACTTGTTTTTACATTTTTAAAGCGGAAAGTCGTTTGAATTACAGAATACATAAAAAAACAAATATAACGGATAAATGCGACGGATGAACGTAACTTTTACAATTAACACTAATAAAAAACTGTCTCCGTTCGTCAATGTCTCTAAACCGTTTAAATTTGTCGTCGATAATGGTGATAGGAAATGGTGAATCGAAAAAAGTAAGAAAAGTAAACTTTCATGATGTTATGAACGATATTGTATTCCAAAAAGTTATAAAAGTTAATATTTAAAGTTTATGTACTTGACAAAACTATTTCCATTCGATGTATTTATTTAAAGTACCATGGTCATTTTCACATGACAACTTACTGCAGTGTTCATGCGTTTAGCGTCATGATCACGGACGAACTTGCAACAGCGCTGAAATATCGGACACTTACACACAATTTTATTTTTCCCTGCAATCACCGTATCCGTTATTTGATCAAGCATTACAAAACTTGTATTGTTGTTACTTATTTGTACATATACATTACGTAATGAATACATATTATTGGTTGTTAGCTACTACTTAATACTGTATACTATAGTTGTTTCTGTAAGTATGAAGTACTTCATTAACTGATAGCATTCGTCGAAAAAAAAGCAACAATACCTATATTTACCTATTTTTTTTGAGAATACAAATTTTTCAATTAATTGTTCATAAAAATAAGAAATGGGTGTTTTAATGTTAACTTTATTGCTGTTAAATGCTACAGACGCGGTTCATCAGTGATCAAATGCCTGATCACATGGCAACAGTGCCGAAATATCGGCAACTAATTTCTTTCCAATCAACCCATAGAATTTTTTTTTATGTATGTTTTTTTATAAGTATATGTATATGTTTAAAATCAAGTGACAATAGACATATCTGAATAAATAAGTTCAAAAATTCGATGAAATCTGTCTCTATAGTTGCCTAACCAGCACTCAGTCTAAGGCGACCGCCTTTTTTCTCGCCCTAACCTTCGGCAAAAAAAATAGGGGAGATTCCTATCTTGTCGCTTCTAATTTACTTATTCCTCTTTTAAAGACTTATTTACCTTCAAAATCCCATTGTGTCCCGAGCGGGCCCGGCAGAGGTATAATAACGGCGTTCTACGTGTCAAACGAGGATTTTCTTAAAAAAGCAATAACAATTTACATAAACAGGCAGTGCTATTTAACAGTTAATAAAGTAAACGATGTCGCAATTGTCAGGCTCTCGTTAAATGCCTTTTAGCTGTATTGTTTTTACAAGATCTGGGATTTCATTGTAAAAGGAAAATTCAAAAGTACTATACCATTCTTTTGTTTTCTATTCGTTAACTTTAAATTATTTTTTGAGATAAAAATTAGTAATATTTTAAGGGGTAAAGTTTTTATGTGACGTTAAATATTTTGTCCTACGTTATAATCTCGGGTTACCATCTTTAACAATACATTCGAGCAGCAGCCTTCTATTTAGTATTCAGAGCATCTTCTTGTATCTCTGCTAATATCTGAAAGCAATCAAATGAAATCCGTGCCTCACGAGCGTTACACGTAAGTGTTGTACACAATGACCCAAATCCACTCAAGTTACGGAATTGTTTCATTAAAACCGACCCAAAAGTTTGACGCCGACCGCGGCTGGGCGCTCTACTCATCCGCAATCGATCCCTGGTTCATCGCACTCTATTCACAAATACAAAATGTGAACTAGATATTAAACAAAATCAGGGGATAGCCCCTAATCAAAAGCGAAATATCCCCGTCATATTCACCCTCAAGTTAATGACGCGAACTGTCCGCCGCATATCAACCCCTTCCCATTAAAAACTTCCAGCCTTCAACTCCACTAATAGTAATCTGAAACAAAGTTCAACCGGTTCAAGGTCGCAATTTAAAGTTTTTCCAAAACTTCTTTTCCCGTTCACTTTTTTATAAGTATATAAATCTTTTTGCCGGAAAAGTTCTACCAAGTTTTTGGCCCAGATTGTCATCGATTTTTGTTTGAAGAGTTTGTTTTTTCATTGTTCTTCTTTACTTGTTTGACGGTTAATTCATAAAAACTTTCCCGCCGTACAATCGATAATAACTGTACAGACGGCTTGTAAACAAAACCACGCTATCTCTTATTTGTAAATTTTATTTCTAAAGAAATATTTAGTCCTAAAATAATATCATGTAACATACCTAACAATTGACAACGTATTATTAAACTATATAAAACAATAAACCATATCATAGTTGAATACACCCAGATTTCCTTTAAATGGGTAGCAGCGTTACTTTCAGTCGCTCCATAAATATTACGTTTTCGCAACGGCTGTAAATATTTTCCCCATCATAAAAGCTATGCATAGTCACCCGGAGGGCTCTCATCACCTCTGTCCTGAATATTTTCATATGTATCGCACGGGTCGCTCTGTCTCAACTTATGTAAATGCTGCCCTAACACTTTCTCCGTTTTTCTCGCGTTTTACTCACAATACTGCGCAATTTGACGGTGGATCTCTATATTATCCGCATAAGGGCTCACCTCTCGACTCGTATGGATTTACAAATGGATATTGTGATTTAAAGTTTATTTCGGGATCAAGACGAAAGCTTTACCTTACATTACCTGCTTTTTAGCAATTCGAACTGAATTGAAATGGTATAAAATAAAACACACAAAATAACACAGAGTATTTTTTGCATTAATTGGTAGGCTGGTAGACAAAGAAGAACATAATGAATAGCCGTCCCCACTGTCCGTCTCAGCTGATTTATTTCATGACTTTTCGGATATGCAAATAGCATTAACATTCAAAGATGTAGGTATCGTCGCCCCTTGGAAGGAATCTGCGCCGACCGCAGAATGATGCCAATCCAGGGTGAATCTTAATATTTTATGTTGTGTTATTTCCCTTTTCTTTTTCCTTTCTGATATTATTTATTTCTTCGCCGACAATGAGATTCCCACTTTGGCGTGTTATAAAAAAGAATTATTGTTCATCTTTTTATAGCGAGGCGTTTTCTTGAGCTTTATATTATCGTGATTGAAGAAGTGCTACTTAACTTCCGTATCGATGTCTTTATAAAACGAGTTTTTTTTTTGCTGTGATTGTTAATCAGAGGTGCAAGTTCTGTAATGTCTGACTGGGAAAGTAAGCTTTAAATTTCGTCTAAAATTTCTTGAGTTTTATGTATTTCTTAGGTTTTAATTTAAGGTAACTTAACAAATTTCTAACTTCTGACCAAACGTACAACTTTGGGCTATGAAACAACGATCAACAATACAGCTTATTTCAAAACCAAAAATAATAATCCATAGGAGTTTTAAAGCTACATCCTTCCGTCAAGTGATTAACTAGTCCCATGAGGTTACCATGAAGAGTGGGAAAAAATCATCGCGGCCTGGGGAGTGATCGGCACGATGATTGATCGTACTACTAATTGGATGATCGATGATCCTGGGATAACGCGGATGCCAGGATCTGTGGCTTTGGAGATGCAACGTATAAAATGTTTGCAGACATTGAACTTCTACCCTCTGCTTTAAAGAAGCAGATTTTTTAAAATATTTCAAAATAAACTAAACAGAAGCGTTAATATATTTAAAAAAAGATTTTTTTTGAATTGTTTCTTTTATGTGTTTTCAACTTTGTTATTATTTTATTTGTACTATAAACAAACCTTTGCATGTTATTTTATATTTCAAATGATGTCACTTTCAATAAAAAAATTGAAAAACCTAAAAAAATCATATTAAATATACTTTATAAATTTTATCAATATTTAGGAATCAAGTTCAGATTAGAGAATGTTCCACATTTTTATTACGATTTTAGATAGACGAAGACGAAGCCAAAGAGTTGTCAAAATTAATACTAAGGCTAAATCAGTCTCAGTACTATAATTTCATATTTCTTAAAGGCCCTATAAATTGAAGAATAATTGTTGACATCAACAATAAAAAACAAAACTTTGATGTTTCGAAAACATTGCACATTATTATCACTTGCCAACAAAATTCATTAAAACCAACTGGGTACATCAAATATTCGTATAACTAACATAGTAAATTTCAAATTAAACATCAAGAATGTCTCCTCTCATCCATCACAAGCTAATGTGATATTTGGCAATTGTAATTAAATTCTACATTAGCGTACAAAGCAGAAGACACGCAGCGGAACCTAATTTTCATAGCTGATTAGACGTACCCCACATGGGATCACACGATTACCGTCGCTACTTATTCTGACACAGAGTATTTCAAATGTTTACTTTTACGATTTGGAATGTGTTTAAATTTAATATATGTATACTAGCAATTGCCTGTAGATTGATATTCAAATATAATTAATTAAGTTTTTAATTGTTTTCCTTTATTCAATAGCCAATATAACTTGAATTATTAAAATACGGACGATCCGTTCATGACAGATCAACATCGACGACCACTGAGTTCTCACTTTCGCTTGTTATAATCTTTTTACGTAATTAAAATAATACCAGTTATCGTTTACGTAGTATTATGTCAGTCATGTACTTGTCTACTTAGTCTTGCTTTAAAAAACTAAAGTAAAATGTTTTTGGCGCTCATGCC